TTCTTTATATCAACCCTTTTTTAAGTTAACTCAACCTTTCCACAGGGAAGGATTCTGATCCAATATTATCCTTTATTGAACAGGGAAAGTTTCTTTATATCAACCCTTTTTTAAGTTAACTCAACCTTTCCACAGGGAAGGATTCTGATCCAATATTATCCTTTATTGAACAGGGAAAGTTTCTTTATATCAACCCTTTTTTAAGTTAACTCAACCTTTCCACAGGGAAGGATTCTGATCCAATATTATCCTTTATTGAACAGGGAAAGACTCTTACATCAATCCTCTACTGAATGAATTAAGCCTAAATTTTCAACTAAGACAGGGAACATTCTTATATCAATCCTTTATTGAATTATTTAAACCTAACTGTTCAACCTAAGAAAGGGGATGATTCTTTTATCAATTCTTTATTAAGGAAATTGAACCTTTCCATTCAACTTGAACAGGGAAAGATTCTGATCCAATGTAATCCTTTATTGAACCTGCTCCACAACTCGATGTCACAAGAACTATTAGCAGAGGCCTCAAAACGTAGAAAAAAGAAACAAGTAGAAAAAGAAAATTGAACAGGAAAAATTGGAAGGGAAATCTCTAAGGATTAAGCTTTACACTATCAATTTTTCCCATAGCATATGTTGACAGAATCGAAGAGGGGTCTGGGAGACATCCCTCACTCCCCCTTCCATTTAAACCAGATAAAAAATACACTAGAAATGTGCGTAAGTAGCTGAATCAGCTCATCTCAAATTTAGTTTCTGAATCATCCAATTATCTAGTGCAAAATAAGAAAGGCAATCTACCCTACATATAGTTCTAAAACTGGCAGTTTTGTCGAACTGCAAGGATGTCTTTAAAATACTTTTTTTTTTCAAAATTAGCTAGAATATGATTGTAAGATGTACGAACAAGAAGAAAAGAAAGAACAAGGAATATAGAAGTGTCAAAGTATTTGCATCTGCCATCATATAATTATTTAAGGAATATTGTTAAAAATTAAAAATTAAAAAAAATATGACCTTTCTTTTCATCTTAGTCGAATAAAATTTGTATACAACTTCTTTATTAAATGAATTGAACCTATATTAATCCAGTTCAGAGGAAAAAAATCAAGAACAAATGAAAAAAAAGAAAGGAAAATTGAATCAGACGTTTCCCCAGTTCAGTTGCAAAATTGCATACTAATTTTTCTGAAAATAAGAATTAACATATTCAAAGATACATCAACCATCAGAGTTAGAATTAAAAAATCTTCAGCGAAATTTCAAATCAATTCTTAAACGACAATTATGTAAAATATCAAATAATAAAATTTGGACTCTGTCTTCAAGGAAAAATAAGGATTACAAATGTTTATATTTTATTTTGTCAATTAGATGAGATTTATCCCTGCTTATGCATTTGTACTTAACCTAGATATTTGCTTCATTTTAACTTTAAAAATATCATCTTTATGATTCAATATTTCGTCACCAACAAAATCATTATTTTACTAAGATCTATGACATTCCTTTGTTAAAGAACGATGGGAATGATTTGTAAAGATCTGGGGGAAATAATAAAAAATTGGACATTGACATGCAAGTTTTTTCATCCATTAAAATTTTTAACCTAAAGTTGTATTTATTTTTCACTAACAGTAATTTTTTTCCAGTTCAGCAAATAAAGCTTTAAAAATTTGTTAACCTAACTTCTGAGGGGAAAAATTATTTTTCAAGAATTACCCCTGCTGTAGATGTACTGAACACCCCACCTAAATCTATATTTAAAATATATGTGCCGCTCATCAACCAAGACAAAGATAATATCGAAAATCTGCAGACAACAGCTTCTGTTAAAACTTCAGGATTTTAAAAGAAAGTGACATTCGAGAAGAATTAATTGCTTTGTGCAAATTGAATAAAAATAATAATTATCCGAGTTGTGATCATGTATAATCCTCACCAACAGAGTAGCTGAAAAATAGAACAAAGGAGCAGGGAATATAAAAACTTTTAAGTCTTTATATGACAAAATACTAGAACAGTATGAATGAGAAGTTTATGTGTAAAATCCTGTATTCAAAAAGACGTCTGGAAATTAGATCTATCATCCTCAAGTAAGTAATCTTCCGAATATATTTATTAACGTTCGATAAATTAATTATATTAAGATTTTACCTAGTTCTTTGATTCAAGCTATCTTGACAAACATCAAGGTCTCCAACATTACTTTCACTTACTAGTAATGCTTGGACTAAATTGCCTAAAACATAATGTAAAGATATTTTCATGCTTACTATATGTATTGGGTTTAAAGTTCCAGTGCTTAGGATCCATTTAATTTTGATGCGGATCCGGATCCTGGATCCGCACTGGAAAAAAATGGATCCTGATCCGGATCCAGGTCATTTCTTTAAGATTTATTTAATTTTTTTAACAAAAAATAATTTTCTAATTTTTTGTTTTAATTTTTTCGCATATTTTTATCCTAAAACTCATGAACCATTCAGAAATGAGGAATTTTTTTATAATCTCTCTTTTTTCAAAAGTTCAGATTTTGGTTTTAGGAGTAAAAATTTTTTTTTTGCAGTTTTTGGATCCGGATCCTAAGCACTGGTTTTAACTATGCTTTGTGAGTCATAAATCAAGGATCAGGGTTGTAAAGTTTTAAATGGGTTTATGAAAATTGGTGAAATTTTCTATTGGCGCGTGTCTTCAGAATTTTGGTTATTAAAGGGACTGTCAGCGTAATTTCAAGTAAACCTCCATTCAAATATTGCAATGCCCGATTTACAAGGTACCCATGAAACCTTAATCTGATCAAAAATGTGGAAGATACTGACTAGAAAAGTGTTTGATTTGACTTCTGAGAGTTTCTACATTGCTTCTTAAAAAAAAGAAATTCACAAGTCACTTTCTCAAGAAATGAAAATAAACAGTTTAAAGAATCAAAAAACATTGATGTCTACATCTTACCTGATCAGACAGAGCTTTCAAGGGTACCGTTGTAAATTGGGCATTACCATCTTTGCATAGAGGGTCAGTTAAAATTAGGAGTGATAAAATTTGAACTTGAACATTTTAATTCTTCTTTTGTTTCTTTCTTTGCTTGAGAGAGTTACATGTCCACGATTCACACCGCAACCATTTAACCCTTTTTAAAAGTAACAATAAGAAATTACAATTGGTTTTCCGTCTGTCATCCTAACCTCTGATACAAAAATCCGAAAGTAAAATTTATAGAGAACTCTCTCAAACGAATATCATTTTCCCCAGACAAAGGTTTAAGAGGTAAGGATTCATAAGAAAGTGAAATCTGCAAGAGGCCCCGATGTGGACCCCTGTTGTGAATTGGGCTTGTAACTCTTTAAAGGGAGTGTTATTTGAAATAACGTTGATAGTCCCTTTATGCTCACCAAGTGATCTCTCCAGGTAGGGTGAGATAAGAAGTATAAACTCTATTAGATCAAGATCACTTCCAGAGAATAAAAGTTCCAGAATATTCTGAAAAACTTAAAATTATTTACTGCACAATTTAAAATCATAACTTAAGTCTAAAAGTCGTCTTCCTTTGCTATGGAAACTTACCTAAAGAGAATCCGAACTAAGTATCGAGTAGATTTTAGGAAGAAATGTTAGATCGTAAACTCATCTTTATATACTTTGCATCGAGTAGATTTTAGGAAGAAATGTTAGATCTTAAACTCATCTATATACTTTGCATCGAGTAGATTTTAGGAAGAAATGTTAGATCGTTAACTCATCTTTATATACTTTGCTTTTTCTGTCTGTCCGTTTGAATTCAATCAACGTGAAAACGGCTGAACCTTTTGAGCCCAAATGGAAAGATAAAAAACATTTGCATAGAATTTTTTTTTTGAAATGTGATATTTCAAAACCGAAAAATACATGTAATATGATTTAGACAGAAAAATGGCAGCGTAAAGAGGAACGGTTAGCAGCTAAAATTGTAACTAAAAAGTGACGCGAAGCGCACTCAAACTCGTTTGAGGTTCGAGAGTTTCCTTCAGATTAGATGGGTAGAGCTCATTTTACCTCCATGACAGCATCTGGTAAAGCCCAGGAGAAAACACCCTCCTTTATACCAGAATTTACCAGATCTTTCGTCAAATTCTTCTTGACATCGTTGAATACCAGTCTCAGATCAGACACTGCCTGGATAGAATGCTGTTGTATAATTATGTTCTGGACTGTAGGCGTGACAGTGATTCTCATTTACAGAATGGAGTGCTCTACTAGCAAAAAAATCTTAAAACTCATGGTTTACTTAAGAGTGGATAAGAAATCCATTATATTAAGAATTATTTATTTTCAATTGTAGCTTCTCTTTAAACTGACTTACGATTTCTGCTTTGGAAACAATGGAGGAAATGTTCCAAATTGAATACAATAAAGCTAGAAAAACACGACGTTGTATGAAAATAAAGTCACTAAAAATGATAGCCCCCCCACGTAGAGTGATTCGTTTAAAATCTCGTCGTCATATTTTTTGTTATATAATTTAAACCATGAGTGTATACATTAACAATTTTCAGAAAAATTAATTAATCCATTAACAATTTGAATAGTTTTTCTATAATTCCATTATTCATCCATTTACATAAAAATCTCGATGCTTTTATCTAAAACTAAAATTGCGGGAAGTCTAAATTTTTTTAAAAATTCTGTTAAAAGCTATTAAAATGCTTTACGTTTGGTTGAGTTTTATCTCAAAGGGATGGAAAAATAATTTATCTCTGATTTAGCATTTTCAAAATACTATTTCATAGTTCTTATTGTTAGAATGGATTCACTTAAAAAAAACACAAAAACTAGTTTATTAAAAAATCTGGATAATTCTGGACTGGAGGTTTGTTTAACAAGATTTGATATTTAAAAATAATTTGGAATCCAAACAAAAAACAGAACAAAAATTCTTTTATTAACTAAATTGCTGAAATTAATACCTTTCAATGTTTTACTGAAGATGCTTTTTTTAATACAGGCCAATTGTATTCCCTGGACTGTCTCTTTAAACTTACTTGAGAATACCATTGTTGAGACCCATTGTATCCAGGAGGTAAAAGGGAACTGATACTTTCTGTATCAAGAAATATACCTACAAAACAATTTTGAGCTGAATTTCAAAATGGAGTGAATATTTTCATTCTTAAACTTTAAAGGGAGAAAAGGTTAAAACTTAACCCAAGCTTTCTCACAGGATTACATTTATTAAATGTCTTAAAATATATATTTTTGCATCACTTTCTACAAAACCAAAGAAAATTGTAGATTTTGGATTAAGCTTGTGCTCAATGAAGATAAAAAATATTGAACTCCTGTCATTCAATACTCGTCAAAAGAGTAAGGACAAACTCCTGATGATGCCAAAGTTTTTGGCGAAATATATTGAGAAGAAAATGATATAATTCTAGTGCTAGAGAGTAGGGTTGGGATTTGTTTAAAAACGATCTAAAATATTGAACTCCACCCCCACAAGAAGGAAGAAAGTATTAAATTAAACGAGATTTTTAATTAATAAAATAATTACTCATAGTTAAAATTATAACGAGAAAAAGAGGCTCTAGTGCATAGAAAAAGAGGCTCTAGTGCATAGAAAAAGAGGCTCTAGTGCATAGAAAAAGAGGCTTTAGTGCATAGAAATTAATATTCAATAATGGTATAACAAAAATCACCTTTTATAAATTTTTGTTCAGGGTCGAAACCAGTATTTAAAGAGAAGAACAGTGACTGTATGTAGGGGGATAAAAAACTCATTTTCTGAAATTCAAAAATCAAACTATTGCTTAACATTCATTAAATAACAGTAAAGCTCAAAATAGTCAGTTTGAAGAAGAATATTAAGTAAAAGTGTTACAGAAATAAAAACATATCAAAAATGTTTAACTATAAGGAGTGATTCATAAAAAGATATTAATATCCTTATTAAGTGAATTTGAAGAATGCTGTTTTGTTGAAAAGTGAAAAGGAGTTTTCGTTTTTTTGTTACCAGCAAACTTTTCTTATTTCAGCATAAATCAAATCAAATCNATCAAATCAAATCAAATCAAATCAAATCAAATCAGGCGTTAAGGGACACATTAATTTGATTTTTTTTTTAAATGTAAAATTAAAAATAAAGTTGAGCATAAAATCATTACTTTTGGTGATTGGTGATAGATCAAATTTCGCCAAGTGTTTAAATAATAGAAATCAATTAATATACATATACATTCAGATATTAAGCTACAGAATTTAAAAAAAAATTAATTTCAAACAGTAAAAAACCATTTACAATACTTCAAGGTAAAATGTTGTATTTAAATACACGATAAAAGCAATTTATAAACATTTCCCAAAATATGGTTTATGGTTGAGGAATTATCAATTAGTTTAAAAGGGACTGAACACTTAATTTCAAGTGACCCTCCATTAGTATATCAAACTCACTAGATACCCATGATGTAAACTTTTGTCATGATCAATGATGAAGTGATATCCTAGTTTTTCCTTCTGAAAATTCTTTATGAATCAGATAGAAGAAGCGACTTGAGAAACAACGAAAAAAGTTACCAATTTAAAAATTTTGAGATAGAAAACTAAAGTTATCTACCTAGTTTTGAACTTATAGAAAAGGTTAACAAAATTGTCGAAATGCCACACAAGGTATGGAGTGTCACTTGGAAATGGGTGTACAGTCTCTTTAATAAATATGTGCATACATGGTGTAGTCAGCATTGATGCCTGATTCAAGAAAAATTCAAAACTTACTAAACATGCAGAAGTTTAAGTCATTTTTAAGTTAAAAAATAACGAATATTTATGCTTTAATTTTCGTTAACAAATTTACAAATTTAAAAAAACACAAAGTAAAAGTAAACAAAATATTTGAGTGCACACGATAAAAAAAGAATTTAAAAATAAATTTTGCCCTGTCTAGTGGCTATTGCTTTATGAAAATAATGCATGGTTGAAAAGTTACTACATAGTTCTATCAATAGTAAATTTTGATATTTCTCAATTTATGTAAAAAGTCTAGATTTGGAAGTTACAGTTACAATTATAGTTACGGTTGCAGTTACAGTTGCAGTTACAGTTACAGTTTCAGTTACACATACAAAGTGAATTTAAAAAGTATTCCTTTAAATATTCTTTTATTGTTTGATTTAAAATGAATTTGGAATTGGTGAGTTCACAGATGTTGTTCACCAAACGTGGGCTATTAAAATTGTTCTGAATTTCTTTTTGCATATTAATCATTGCTATTGTTGATAAGTTGGGATAAGGCAGCTATGTGTGTTAGGTCGGGTTTGTATTAGAAAATATAAAAATTTGATTTTAAGATAAACAAATCTTGTCAGGAGTGTTGGACGACTATTCTTGCTTGTGTTGAGAGTATGGGAGTTGGATTGGGTGTTTGGAAACAAAAGTTTGATTGTTTGAAGTATCATCAGTTTCAATTCCTTCCTTCGCAGGGTTGCTGCCATCTTAACAGAAAATTTATATTAAAACACAGAATCCTTACGTTTTTTTTCTTATTCTTTTTTAACCAAAAAAAACACTTTATAAAATAAAAATGAAATAAGATCCCTAAAATCATATTTCATATTAAATGCATCAAAAAATAATGTCCATTACCAACCAAGTACAAATATTTCTGTTTTCTGCTAAGTAATTCTTTTAAAGTCTTTTATGCAGCAATTGCTTTGAAAGATGTATGCCTGAAATAGACTGTTGAAACTGGAAAAATATTTCATTATATATAAGAAATAGATACGGAAAAAATAAAAGCAAAAAGTTTGTTTTACAAATCTATTAAGTAGTAATCACTGTTTGTCTTTGTGTTTGTTTGTTTGTTTATTTCTTTGGATGCCCAATCATAACTCATGAGCCCCTGGACGGATTTGCCTTAACTTATGATTGTTGAACTAAACAGTAACGTGGGAATAAGTTTAACTTGGTTTAAACTGGAAGTGAGTGGGTTGATTTTTAAAAAGAAAATCAAGCTTCCAGGTAAAGCTGGATTGTTCATAATATTCATGCTGTAGGTTGACAGAGCAATAAATTACTCTTTTAATTCAATGATACTGGTTCAAAGCAATTATTCTTTTTCTAAATTATTACATACTGAAAAAAGCACTAGAAGTTACTAAAGTAAACAGGACTCAAAACGATGCCCTTCAGTACTAGAAGGTCAAATGAGGGCTTAATTTAAAAAATTGGTATATTCAAACATATAAGAATTCTTCATGAGTTTATATATATGTATTTATATTTTTAAATGGATAAAACATTTTAAGCTACAAACTAAACATGAAACATTAAAGCTGTGCACAGATTAAATATTTTACATAAATTGTGGTTAAATATTGTGTGAAAAATTACTATACCACACTCCTTACATTTTAGCTAAAATAATTGTAGCTTTTGTGAATGGCTTTCCAACAATTTCCTCCTCCATGTGGGCCAACTCCTTCCCAACCACAACCTTATAGTTAATTATGTGCTCTCCCATCTTTACTGTTCCATACATTCCGTCTTTGCTATGGTTGAAGATTTCTGTCACATGCATTCCCATCATTTCAGAGGAGTGTTCTACTCCGGGTGTAAGATGCTTCGACTCCATTGGTAAAACTTTAGAGGATGAGGCATCCAGCCAAATCCCTTTACCCAAATGTTTCCAGGTTAGGGTCTCTCTTTCCTCTACTGCAGCTGAAATCAGAGGCTCAGGAAGACTGAGGCCACGAAGGAAGTTGTCATAGTTTGAATGTGTCATGACTTTCCAAGTTCCTTCAATGTCACCATATCTCTGATATGTGATGCTGCACTTGATGCCATGAGGAGCTTTCTCTGCTGTCCAAGTTAGATGGTCAGTGGTTGCAGTGTTCCTAAAGACATAAACATGGCCCGTATCCTTCTCCTTGAAGGTATAAACTAGTTCAGATGGAGAGTTACTTGTGAACAGATGAGTTCCAGTACGTCCAAAGGAATCTTCATCCTCAAACTCAACACCAAGCTTGAAGGTTACACTCTTTTTACTTCCATCTCCAAGACAATCAATCATTTCATAATCCCCATTCTTCTCAGTTATTCTCACAGCAGCGTAGGACAAGAGGTTTTCTGCATTAGCTTTGGTCATCTTATTATTAGCTGTCATATACTTATCAGCATCCACATGGTTCTGCATAACAAAGAAACCACAGAAAGAAGCATTTACTTTCTCCCAAACACTTGTAGAGATATACCCATCTCTTGTTGATGACATCTTTATGGAGACACCAGAGCTAGACACAATAGTGTCATAGGTGTACACAACATCTGGAAAGGTCACTTTCTTCACAATGACATTTCCATTTCTTGTAACAATGGATTTTCCTCCAGTGAATGGGGCAGGAAGGATGTTTTCCTTACCATAGGTGTAGTCAGTGCTCGTATTAAACTCAGGTTTCTTACTGAAGGTGACTTTGCTGGTGTAACCGGTCCCAAAGTCAGAAATAGTAAAGCTCATGCAGTTGTCAGGTGACAGGAGAATCTTCAGATCCTCCTCAGAAATGAGGTTGTTAAAGACAGCCCTTGCCTCCTTCTCAGGATAGTCGCAACTAACAACTCTATTAAAGAAACCATTTAAAATTAATCTTTTGGCAATTGGATGAAAAATTAAAACAATCTGATAAAGCAGTGTTGCAAAAAGAATTCCCGTCAAGGGAGATTTGGTTTAGAACATGAGATAAAAAACAAGACATTTAAGATTTAACAGATTAAAGAGAGTAAACGCTTACAATACAAATTAGAAGATTAAATAATATCTAAGAATTACAAGAATGTGGTTCCAAAATTAACCTATACTTAGAGGATTGGGTATTCATTTTGTAAACCATATGAATTAAAAAATGTTCATAAGAAGTAAGTTTCTATAAACTTCATTCGGATTCTTTAAAGAGAATTTAATGAAAAATATTGAAAAGTAAATATTATTTTCTTACTTGTAGGTTCCAGATATTTGCATGTTTGCAGGTTGAATGATTGAAGAAGAGCAAACCCGTGAACTTATATACCCGGAGTTGAGTACACATGTATTTGCAAGGTTGCAGTGTACGTTGGAAAAGTCGCAATGTTCACAGTGAATTGTGCTGGGCCATGGGGGAGAGGGGGGTTTGTTATGATTCTTTTTTTTACAAAATAATACATTTGTTAAAAAATAAATCATTTAAATTGTAAGTTTTTCTCACCTTCGCTTGGTGAACATAACCCCCACCCCCACTTTTCCCGGTGTTTACACGATACCATAACAATGAGATCCACAGTTTATTGTGTATATTAGATTTCTTTGAACGTATTCCATGACCTTGAGTACAACTGAGCACAAGTGAGCACTGAGTATATGATGAAAACATTCGAACAACACAATGGTTTATAACTACAGTGGTTTTTAACTACAATATCGAGACAAATCAGATTGCCTGAATATTCGTTTTAGATTCTAAGATTTGATTTACCATAAATTATATTTTACCCTCCCCTCTTTTGTTAAGTTTAGACTGTGTGTACTGTGTAATGATAGAAAACCTTAGTTCATTGTATACATCGGAATTCTTTGATTGTACTCCATAACCCTGAGTACAACTAAGCACAGAGTTAATTACTACCCAATAAGGATGAGGTGCAGCTGACAGCTTTACGATATTTTTCAGGGGGTAGGGGGTGAGTCACAATTAAATTCAAGCGAGCTGAAATTTTATACAAGGAGATTGTCAATTTTTATTCTCAAACCATATGACCAGGCAGGTAGTGGGAATTGGGGAAAATGTGTTTCAAAACTTTATATTTTTAAGTTTTAAAAATTCTGCATTTAAATTGTTTAAGTTGTGCTGAAGGCAACATTCAATTATAACTTTTCTTAGAGATCAAAATTAAAGGGCTAGAAGGTGCCTGCACTCCCTACTTGCGCCCTAATTTTTCTAGGGGACCCCTCTCACCACCCCCTTCAGCCGCCACTGTCTACAGATACGACTGTACGGAATTTTTAATGTCGGTTTTATATATATATATATATATATATATATATAGTCTAACACAACGAAATCCGTCTGTCCATTATTAATGTCATTGTTCTGTTAATTATTAAGTGGGATGAAAAAAAATTTCACCTAAAGAACTTCTTAGATGTTCGATTGAGGTTCATAATTAACAAAACAAATGACATTATATATTAGGGACTGACAGGTTTCTGCGTTTTAAACCATATATCCCTGCGAACATTTAAGCTTCGATATGCCGACATTTAATAAGCCATTGAAAAACAATGCAAGGCAGAAGTTTTTATTTACCCCGGCCTTGGTATTGCCATTTATTACATTCAGGTCTTATTTTCAGTCTCATCCTTTGTGGGTAACCCTGTATGATGTATACTGTATAATGTGCGTAACACAATCAGTTCCAAACGTATACACTAAATCAATGAACTGTGTGCAGACACTTTAACGAGCTCCCTCAGGCCCCGACTTGCTTTTTTGGGTAAACATTCAACTTAATGGGGTCAAGTAAATTTGCAAATATTAATATTTGTATGAATAAATAATATTTTATAAAGGTTGTTTAAATTCTTTCCTTATTTCGTGGTTTTTAAATCAAAATTTATGTAGATACACAGACCACAAAAGGGAAATTCTCTTCACTTTTCAGCTCTGGTTCATATGTACATTGTACAAGTGTACACTTTCTCTTGTTAATCTGTACAGTTGTATTAATTTGTCTAATATGTACATATACATGCATAAATCTGATTATTTTGTAAATTGTACAAAAGCTCTTGTGTACTGTACTATAGTTGTACAAACCTGGTTCATCTGTACAGTTGTACAGAGACATAATGGCATCCCCAAGTTTGCTGTAGGAGCTCCCTGCAGCAAGGAAAATCTCGCCAACTTTGCTAAAATAAAGGAGAAATCCAGAAAAATCAAGAGAAGAGAAGCAGAATAATCAAAGCTTTGGAAAAATTAAAGTGAAACTGAAAGGTCTTAAAATTCTAAATTATTTCAATCTTAAAAATATTTTGATTTAAAAAAATATATTTTATGGTTTTAATGAAAATAAGAACACTTTTGATTAGAAAATGAAAAAGTTAAAAGATATGACGAAATATTCTACTTTAATCCATTACGTACAAATCTGAAAATGAATAAGCGTCATTATTTCAAGCAATGTTTTTTGCTTTGAATTTTTTCTTTTCATTCCAACATTTTTCCTTGTTTACATGTATGAGAATACTTCTCAAATGTTCCTGATAGTTTCAACAAAAAATAAAATAAAACATGCCTTACCTTGCAGAGTTCATTTTTAATGATTTCTGAAAAACAAAAAGTATAAATCAATGTTTACTAAATCTAATAATCAAAAACGTTAAGCATCTTTTACAATTAAAAAAGATGTACACAAAATTTCTTTATTTGAAGTTTTGACATTCCCAAGTTTAACCAATACATGTTTGATAGTTAGATAACTAAACTTATTTTATATCACAGTACTAAAGACAACAAGGTATACTAATTTTTTGTTTGTTAATAATATAAATTTTGTTGACTGATCTGTAAGAAATACTTTCGTGAATTTTGGATATTTAAAACAACATAAAATTAAAAAATACAAGGAATTTAGGGACAACTTTTAACTCGTCTTTAGCACATGAAGCAATCCCTCGTAAATCTACTAAAACATACCAGAAAAGTCTCAAACCTTAAGAAACATAGAAGACAGATCACAAAAATCACAGAAGTTATCAAATCAGATTTTCATCACAGAAATTCTAGATTTTATAAATAATTTTGGTAATTTATATTTGGTACAAGTTAACAGTTGATTTAATTTAACTAAATGATATTATTTCACAAATATATTTAACTGTAAATTTTTGATTTGTCTGCCATCATCGCTTTTCCGGAAAAAAATGAAATAAATAAATGTATTATATTTAGCAAAAAAGTTATGTTGTAAATAACATCTAATTATTGGGAAAACGTAGCACTCAATATATTGTAAATGTCAAAAAAAAACAGTAGGACCAAAAAACTGAATAACATAAAGACGACATATAAACAATATTATTTTTAATTGATGTTGTTACAAAGCAAAAAGGTTAACTATAAGATTAAAAATCAATCGATAAAGTAAAATGAATGCTGACGGGTCAAATGTCGACGTGCATTTTATATCATAAATAAATACACTGCACACTGCACTGTGAAGATTATTGGCGCTTAGTTTAAAAAAGGTCTGGGTCATTTTCATAAAACAAAAAGTTTATGAAAAAAATCTACCTGTAACCGGCTACTTTTTTTCCATCCAGTGCCTTTGACGCATCCTGAATGACATTGTTATAGAAATATCTAGGAAGCTTACAAAAATTTTACCCGCTAAGGTATATATGTTCAGGTTCTTATTCAGAACTTAACAACCGAGGTTCAACCCCTCTGTTAAAACAATGCCATTATGATCGTTCAAAACAGCACCCAAACCAGGGTGTATTCAGGAATTTGTCCAAGCAGTTAGATTTTTTGGTATTTAGAAATAAACCCTAATCATTATCCTGAATGTTTTCATTAACAAAAATAAGCGTTTCTCTATAATAAAAAGTACCTGTGCATCCCGTGGATCTTGAAACAATACAAAACCAAACCCTGGAGGGCGCTGAGCAATCCAAACACTCAAAACCTTCATAAAAGGAACTGTAAGCATAACTTCAAAAAAAAAGAGTATTGTAAAATTTACAACAGTACCCTTCAAACCTTTGAAATTTTCTCTAAAATAGTAAAAATATTAACAAAAAATGTAACGTTCATAAACTAAACTTTTGGTGCGAACTACAGTTGATCTGTAGTACTTAGACCGAAACAAATGTGGGTTTCAGTATAGAGTGCTCTGTGTGAATATTTTGAAACTATTTTATATAAATGTCCAACACAGTGATCAACAATTTCGAATGAAAATATATTTTGTGAGTTCTAATTTCAAACAAAATTGTTAAGAATTACAATAGTTTTTGTATAGAAAAAGTACAATTCCGTTATCCTTGGTCAATGGTCAGTCAGAGTCTGAATTTAATAAATTTGAGCTGAGTCTCAAATCCACCAAAAACCGGTTTCAATTGAGCGCCGGCTTAAATCTTAAAACATTGAATACATTTTTAAATGAAACCAACCATATTTAAGCCACGTCTCAAATTTAAGCCGCGGCTCAAATTCTTAAAATTCGACTTCAGGTTTAAACGGAAGGGTGCTGTCGTGAATCAGATTTAACATTCAGATTCTACAGTCCATTTTAGTACAACCTTGATACAAACTATAATAATTTAACAACCAAGAAAAGAGAAAGAAGAAGGCTTAATTTTTCCTAATGTTCATGATGTCCAGATTGTTTGGGACAAGTAATTGTGCTTGATGGCAATAAGACGACATTTAATGGCATTCACAATATCTATTATAAAAAAGAGTATCATCTGTTTGTCTGTCTGTTTGTATGTCCGATTATATCTCAGGAACCCCTGGATTCAATTCACACTTTTTAGCGTTTTCTGGACCTTTCAGGAATCAGGATTAAGCTTATTTAGTGATCTTGAACACATTGAATACTTAAACCTATAATTTATCGTAAATATGCTGCATTGTTTGAACTACTGTATAGTTGGACTATCGTTCAAGTGCACTAAACTCAGCTGATCAGAAACCTTTGAACTATACTTTAATTGGTATAATCATATTCTAAAGATAATCATGTTTAAATGCACCAAGTTCATTGTAACTTTAATTTAATAGGACATTATTTTTGTTCAATATTCAAAATTTGCTGATATTAGAAAACATCACTAATCAGTAGTGCTATTACAATTATTCCAAAACTTTACAGATTTAAAAGTCTACACTACAGAAGAAATGTAATGTCGTAAATGACAACTTAATAACCTAGTCCAAAAAATCTGTACACCATGCATGGGTTCATTATCATTATACATATTTTATTGAATTATAAAACTTCAGATTTAAATGTCTCCAGAAGAAATGTAATGTCGCCGTAAATACTTAATAAAAATCTGTACACCATGGGTTCATTACAAAGATAATATATATATAGATATGCAGGCAGGTAGAAACCTCCTTCCTAAATTGCTTGTAGCAGACAACTAATTTTTGAACCTCTGAGAG